ATATATATATATATATATATATATATATATATATAAAAAGTAAACAAAAAAAAAAATAGAATTAAAACTATTTAAAATGTGGTATTTTAAAACTTCTGAAAATGGTTCATTAATCACAAATTGCAATCAGAATTTGTTGTATTCAAAAGTTATTTTGTAGTCAACAATACATAACTGTATTCAAAGTTTATTTTGTACTAAACAAGACATAACTGTTTCCACATATGTAAAAAAATTGTAATAAAGATTTATTGTACTCATTAATTATTACTAAGTGTACCAAAATTATCTACATTATTACTATGCTTATTAATAATTTTAACAATTATGTTTATTAGTATTAATCATAATTACAATTTATGTAATTAGTAATGATATTGCTTTAACCACAATAACACATTAATTTATCATGAGGACAATAATTATCATATTGTATAAATAAGCATGGTCAATTAAATGATAATATTGTCGTAAATCATTACAATCATAGACATAGCTATTCTATTATAAAATTGTTAAAAAAAACGTTAAACAAATAGTAAGGCTAAACTCAAGGCATATGATAATCTATACAGTAAACTAGGAACAAGAAAAGGAGAAAAAGATGTCTTCAGATTAGCAAAAATTGGAGAGAAAAAATGTAGAGATCTAGACCATATTTGGATCAAAGAGTCTTGGTGAAGGATGAAGATGTCAACTAAAGGTGGAGAATTTTTTTTTAAAATATTAAATGAAGAACATAATGAGAATATAGCGGTAAAAGGAACTATCGGTATAAATGAGAGTGGATGTCATAGATACATTCATAAGATTAGGATATAGAAAGTTGATGAAGCTTTGAAAATGATGAAAATAGAAAAGACTTTAAGACTATCTAGTATCTCGATAGAAATTTGGAAGTGCATAGAGGAGATTGGCATTGACTGGTAGACCAAGTTGTTCAAATAAAATGTTAGAGGAATAGATGAAAAGTATTGTAGTACTTATTTACAAGAACAAATAAGACATACAGAATTGTGTGAACTATCAAGAGATCAAGCGTATGAGTCATAC